GCATTAATAAAATGATTAATTTGTTTATATTTACCTAAATACATGATAAACTATCATTTCAAAACATTCACCATTGTCCACAAGGCAAAAACTATAGATCAGGTAAATTTGGAGTATTGATTTATAAAATCATATATTTCAAATGATTTTAAAAATCACTACACAAAACACTAATGTTATTATAATGGCTCAAGATTAACTAATTAAAAAGGATTATGTTCATTGTATTTAAGTCATTAAAAAATTATGCTTTCCATAAAACATAGTACATGGCCATTTAAAGTTTTTTAAGTACGCTACTAAATACAATACTAAATGAAAGAAATATAACCAACATTTCTTCTTAAAGTGTTAATTATTCAACATGCTACCTATCAAATGATACCAAAAGGATCAGGAAAGCTGTATATCTGAATATATTTTGCATATACTTTAAATTCTCCAAGAATAACTTGCCTTTTCTAAAAAAACATAATTTTCCCAAAAAGTTGCTTCTCATAATTTTCTTCAGAAACTTGACTTATCATAATTAAAAAAATTAAAACTTTAAGCTTCCCCCATTAAAACATTAAGACAGAATACCTGTTAGTTCTAAAACATAAATTGATTTTTTCTCTTTCAGTAACAACCTTCTTTTAATTATAAGCAGTTTACATTTGGAGAAGAAACAGAAATTTTAAGTAAATTTACAAGGTTATTTAGAATCATAAAAGTACTGCCAATATCCTTATAGACACTATACTTAAATGCAAAAGTATAGTGGTCCACTTCAATACTACTCTGAAAAAAACCAACTGATACTAATTTCTTTAAAAGAAAAAAAAATCATATAACTAGAATTTTCCAGTAAAAATAAAATAAAAACAAAACAGATAAACTTCATAAGGTAAATGGCACTTAGGAGATACTTAATTTATGTAGTTTATAGTTTGTGGATGGAGAATAAAAGTAAAAGAAGAAAAACAATTCCAACAATTAAAGCCTTGTCAACTACTAGGGGAAACAATGAGGAGACATATATTCATTTTTACTTAAATTTTTTTTAAAAAGGCCAGTGTTAATAATTGTTGATTATGAGGCGAATCTTTTCATTGTAAATGTTCAAAGGTGCAAACATTAAAAAAAAAGAGATTTAATAAATGTAAAAATTAACCAAAAAAGTAAAAATATCTTCTCATTACTTGCTGAAGAAACACTAAAACAGATTTTCCACGTGAATTTCACACAGAAACTTAAAAAATTCACGGTATATGTCAAATTGCTTGCCTTCTCAATGGAGGGAGAGGGAAGAGAGAGAAAGAGAGAGAAAGAATTTAGAACTTAAAATCTGAAAAAAGAATGTTAAAATCGTTTTTACATGTAATTAGGGAAAACATTAAGCATTTTTGAGATACAGAAGGCAAGGAAATTAAAGGGGATACAGAAACTTGAAAAAAAATTCAGGATAAAGAATGTAAAATAAATCCTAAAAGCAGATAATTTACTAAATTATACAGCCTTAATATGTTATATATTAAACACATCATTAAAAGGCAGATTTAAAGCCAATTAAAATTTTTTTCTTTTTACTACTCTTTACTCTTTTCTTAAGGCAAACAGTGATTTTTTTACATATATATTAAAAAAATATATATGTGTGCGCATGTGTGTAGAGAGAGAATCAGAGAAAGCCAAAGCATTGCTGCTGTAAGCTTAATTTACTTTACGGTAGTAAAGACATTTAACATTACTGCAAAGCCAGTCTCCAGTTTTTATTTTGTGCATAAATTTTTTTTTGCATAAGAAATGAATATCATGAAAGATCATTTATATTAATTTCAATGTTCTTTCCTCAGAGGAACCATATTTTCTAAATCAAATATGGTATTTTTCTAAATACAATAGATTGTATGAATAAGGATTAATAACTGAGTGCACGAGTAATGTTTTCAATATTTATTGTGACAATGCTGCCATCTAGTGTACATACAGTTATACTATTATTTTTAAATGTATTAAGCATTCTCTTCAAAGAAAGGCAGCTGTGAGTAACTGGCCTAGGAACCAGGGCTACCTGAGTTCAAGTCATACCACTGACACATACTTGCTATACGATCCTGGGAAAACTACTTAATCTTACAGAGTTTGAGGCAACTCCCTAAGATGACAAGTTTCAAAAGAGGTACTGACCTACAAAGGGAAACCGAGTTTTTGACCAGGAAAATAGAAGTATCTTAATGTGAAATCATGCATTCTCTATCCCCATTGAGTATTTAAAGGATTAGGAAGTGTACACAGACTAAGTATACTCACTCTGCCAATTAAGCCACACAATACAAAAGCTAAGAAAACTTTTAAAGTACTCTCATGTGATTTCTGAATTTGTTTCAGAATTTCTGATTTGTTTAGTTTTCTACTTTTTCCTTAATGCTCTCCTTTCACACTGGAAAGAAGATAGGCACCTGCCAATCACTCCCAGGTCTTGTACTACTACAACTATAAGTTCAACAATGAAGACATGAATGGGGACTACTACCACCACTCATTGAATCAACTAGCCTTATCAAGCACCTACTATATGTTAGGCACCAGGTAAATATAATATAAAGATTCAAACAATCTCTTCTCTTTAAGAAGTTTGCATTCTATGGGAGAGACACAGACTAAATACAAACAGAATGGAGAACAAATACAGGTAGCAAGGAAGCAAAGGCAGTAGCAGTTGGGAGGAAAGGCAGAAAACCTCACATTTTATCTAATTTTATCCTTATTGTAAGCCTGTGTTAGAAAGGCCTTAAGGTACATGTAAACTTGATAAATTTACTCTGTCACATAACAGAATGTGAGAGACAATACGTGCATATCAGAAAAAGTTTCTGCATCGGGATACGTAGTTTTAAGTTCTGATTCCCAACACTTCATTAGCTGTGTGACCATAAACAACTTAAATCTCTGAGGCTGCTTTCAGACCCATCTTTTAGTTCTAGCTTATTAATTAAAACCTGCTATCTATTTATGAAATTCTTATCGCAATAACAAATGAAGTGAAATATCTGACTGGAAGTTTCCTTTCAGTAAGTGAGAGCTAAAAAGTTCTTTTTTTTTTTTTGCAACCCATTTGCAAAAGCAAACAGCCTGTAATATTAATATTCCTCCTTAAAATGTAGGTCAGGTCACTTAAAAAAATTTTATATAGCCTCACTTGTTAAGGCACAAATAGTCTTTATTTTTATAGAACTGCTGCCACCTAGTGAATTATTTTTGAAACAGACGTTAACTAAAAAATCTGATAATGGCTGACTTCCTAATATCAACTGCCATTAAGCATAACAATGAACAACAATCTCTATAAGTACTAGGGAAATACCTACAAATAATGTTACAGAAAAAATAACTTCTCTGCCTCAAGTGTTTCCTCACTGCAGTCCACCCTCCAGTCTGCTATCACGTAATCCTGATGTGTAGGTCTGAATAAGTTACCCCTGTATTTAATAAAATCCAGTGGCTCCCTAACACCACCAGAATCAAATAAAAAATGCTCAGTTTGGCATTAAAGCCTTTCAAAACCCGACTCTTTCCTACCATTCCAATGCTCTTACCTTTTACTCCCCCTAATGTAGTTTATGGCCTTCTGGATGTTCCTGAACGTAAGACACTCCCTATTCCAGCTCTGCATTTTTACCAGATGTCCCCCATCCCTACAATTCCCTCCCTCATCTCTATTTTCTGACTTCCTTCAAATTTCAGCTAAAATCCTAACAAGAAGGCCAGCCCCACTTAACACTACTGCCATCCTTTTAGGATTACCTCTATTATTTGTTTACAGTTGTTTCTATGTTCTCTCCCCCATTAGAATGAGCTCCTTGAGGGTACAGGGGCTGTTTTTGCTGGTATTTGTATTCTTACTGCTTAGCACAATGCTTGGCACATAGTAGCTTTTAAGGAAGGCTTGTTGATCAACTTATTAATTGGTCAAATTGAAACTCAATGATTTATACAATGGAAAAAAAATTTCTGGAGTTACGACCTGGATTCAAATTTTACCTTTGAAAATTACTAAATAAATATCTGTAAAATGAGGAGTAGATGGTCTCTGAATTGCAGATCTATGCCTTCCAAGTGCAGCTCTATGATCTTATAATTTCTGATCTTAATTGCAGGCATTATTTCAGATGGTCATTATTATTTTTTATCTTAATTAAATTTTATAAATAAGTAAAGTTCTATCACATAAAAAATTGAAAATTAATCAACCTAAAGCCTTTAACAAATATTAATTTGGCCTAAAGGTTAACAGCCTGATTCTCTATGTTCCCAATTTTTCTCTAAACATTATTAAATTTTCCTAGATTCTGACTTAACTCTGAGATACTGACAGGAAAGAACAGCTATCTTATATTTCTAACAATATCAATTAAAACCAAACCACATTTTCTTCAACAATAGAAATATCAAAGAGCAAGAATTTTGGCAAATAGAAGCACTTGTACTATGTTCTCAAAACAAAAACAAGAATTCCAATGTATATATTTGCACTACAGTGAAGGATATTCATAAGTTTGTATCTCCACTTTGCATGTGCTCCCATGCTTGTAGGTTCAGCTCAACAAAATAAGAGACTCCCTGGTGTCTGTTTCCCACCCTCCAACATTTCCTGCCTCCTTTTTGTGTGTTGTCTACTCACTTTCTATAGTAAGCTACTTGGTGGCAGGGAATGTCTTTCTTTTTATTAACCGCATCTCCAGCACTCAGCACAGTTCCTAGCACATATTACGCACTTAATAAATGTTAATTGAATTGGATTAATTATAATACCTCCCACCCTCCACAAAGAGTCTAGACCTAAAACTTTAAACTAGTGAGAAGCTGTTCATTTTTTTAACACACACATAAAACACTTTTTTCTTTCACATTAACACCACACTTTTTTTAAAGTGTAATTTTTATCAGATAGAGTGTGACATTTTGAGGAGCTCACAAAAGATGATGGAAAAATAAGATAATATAAAATCCATACTCACCTGGGAGAAGATATTTGCAGTTGGAGCAACTCTGCTGTCCACAATACTGTATAATATTGCTAACAATCTGTCCAGAGGAAATGGCTTTGGGCCAAGAAGATGATTGCTAGTCTGTAAGAAAGAAATCAATTAAACAGATTTTTCTTAGGAGCTGAGCACTCTTATTTATTGCACTGCAAAATCCTAAAGGCAATATATTTACACTTTACATAGTCCCTGAAGGAAAACCCTGAAAACTATTCAACCTAAAATCTCTCTAACAAATATGAGGACTGTAAGTCAAAACTTTGCAAGACTCTTCATGGTCAAGATACATAAAAATCTTTTTTCATTTAACACTTTCTGAATTTCCTTCTATTCCCTCTTTCAATACTGGTGTATTGATAGGGAAACATTATTCTCTATTCACTATTCTTAAAATTCAATTATGATAAATATCAGGCATTATCATTTTATTCTCAGATATCAGTTAACAGCTTAGGGATGGCTCACCTAAAATAAACTATAATGAATATTTTATGATCTGTGTAGAAGATGCTGTCGGTCTGAAAATATGGAGATGGCAGATTTGTAAAAAACTTGAGCTGAGGCCTAGAAAACCGTATTTATTTACAAGTAAAATGACACACAAATTTTATCATATACCACTTTGAGCTAAGATAAATTTAAAATGCACTATGATCAGTGCTAAATGAACTTTTACTCAATACATTTATCAGTAATCAGAAAATAATTTAACGTACAAAAATTATTATTTTTAGAAAGTAAGATCTTAAAAAGTAAGAAAGTAATTTACTACAGTGGAAAGATTTGGAGTAGGAGGACCTGGATTTGAATCCTACCTCAAATTTACTAGAGGGAAAGGCATTACCTTTCTCCAGATCTGTTTCCTTAATTTGAAAAATGAGTCAACCAAACTTAAATGATCCTTAAACTTACTGTTCGGTTGTGTCTGACTCTTTCAACCCCATTTTGGGTTTTCTTGGCAAAGATACTGGAGTGGCTTGCCAATTCTTTCTCCAGCTCATTTTATATATGAAGAAACTGAGGCAAACAGGGTTAAGTGACTTGCCCAGTGTCACAGAGCCTCAGGCCTCAGACACACTTGAACTCAGGAAGATAAATCTTTCTGACTTCAGGCCTGGGCCTACCACTTTACCCACTGTGCCACCTAGCTTCCCAGATCATTAAAGTTACTTCTTGATAAAGGCTTCATTATGGTATGGAGGTAATCCTGTTTTCCTGAGAGCTCTATCCCAGGATATAAGCTCTGACTGACTCTAGTAACCTGAAAAGGCTTTGAGTACTCACATTATGATCTTCATTAGGAGCCATGGATTCAATTATCACCTTTATGCTGATGATTCTCAAATATACTTATTCAGTCCTAACTTCTCTGCTGACCTTCAGTCTTATATCTCCAACTGCCTCTTAGAAATCTTAAATTTAACACATCTCAAAATAAACTCACCTTTCCCCAAAAACCCTTCTGTCTTCCTTACTTCTCTATTCCAGCTGAAGGTATTACCATCTACCATCCTAGGCACACAGCCTAGGTGTCATCTTCAACTCCTCACTCTCCATATCCACTCTGTTGCCAAGGCCTGTTGATTATACCGTTGCAACATCTCTGTAATACGGCCCCTCTTATGTTACCACTACCTGGTGCAGACCCTCATCAACTATGCCTGGACTACCGCGGTAACCTGTTAGCTGGTCTTCCTGCCATAGGTCTCTCCCCATTCCAGTCTACCTCCACACAGCTGACAAAAATGATGTTCTTAAAGCAGAGGTCTAACCATATTACTCTCCACTCCTGGACTTAATAAACTCCAGTGGCTCCCTATCACCTCCAGAATCAAATAGAAAATCCTGCTTAGCATTCACAGTCCTTCATAAGCTGGCCCCTTTCCTTACTCTTCTAGTTTTCTCCTATCTTACACCCTTCTCTACTCATACATTCTGCTCTCCTGTGACAGTGGTCTCCTTGCTGCTCCTCCCACCAGACACTCTATCTCCCCACTCCACACATTATCCCTGGTCTTCACCTCAGTCTGCAATGTTCTTTCTCATCTCCACCTCCACGCTTCCTTGGCTTCCTTCAAATCCCAGCTAAAATGTCACCTTCTACAAGCTCTTCCTGATCCCCCTTTATTCCAGTGTCTTCTCTTTGTTGACTGTCTCCAATTTATTCTCTTTATGTTTTACATATATATGTATGTGTGTGTGTATGTGTGTGTGTATACACACACACACACACATACACACACATATGTATATATAGCTGTTTGCATTTTATCTACCCCACTGGACTGGGAGCTCCTTAAGCTCAGGCCATCCACAAAATGTGATAGTACATCAGGCTTAAAAGTTCCAATGATTTGATCTTGCAGATGGGGGAATGAACTTGCAACTCATAAGTTGTCTTTGCAACTGGAGAAATGAGGGTGCTTTGAAGTTACTAAAAAGATACTCAAAATATTTATATCTTGTTGACAGCTATTATTATTCAAGGGAACAAAGAGAAAGCTCTAGGACAAATTATCATACTTTAAAGAATTTTTGTCATAGTCATACTTTTCTACTCAGCATTTTTATCTTTCTTGAGTATTATTATTAATTTAAATTATTTCTGGTAATGTTTAATAGCAAAAAAAACCCCTCACATTTTTGTATTCCTTTAAATGTGAACTTAAAAAGTTTTATACATTCAGAAATGTGATTTGATTTTATGTAAAGAGCCAAACTTTGACACACATCTAAGGTCAAAATGAAAATACAAATGTCATTTACATAGTACGTCTTTTGTTTCTCTTTATACCTGATACTCTGACTATCAGTTATACATGCTATAAATGTAAAGTGGTCTCATTTTTTAACTCTCAACGCCCTCCATTTGAGGCACAAGATTCTGCGATGTTGAGAGATAATCCAAGAGCTGGGCACAACCTCTCAGGGGTACCACCTAACAAGCTTCAAACTTTCCACAATTTAAAGTTTAATGAATTGCTGTGGCCAAAAAAGTTATACATAGACAACATTTACGTGAAGAAGTACCTCTCTGTACTTAACCAGAATGGTCCTGATAACAAGAGATTTGCAATCTGTATGAGACCATAAACAAATATTTCCAGCCTGGAAGCAACTGACAGAATCAGAACTCTTCTGGTAAAGCCTTTAAGAACTCACAATCACTTCCATTCCAAAAGAAGGCACTGGAGTAAGGTTTTAGAAAGCTTTCCAGCCCATCACTTCAGTGAAATACATAAACCTAAACTATTAATCATGTCTCCATTTCCTATAAAGAAATGCACACAACAAGATTTTTCTTATAAAAATGAAAATGGAAATACCTTTTCGGGTTTTTTCATTAAACTAGCTTTCTTGATTTTTCCGTGATGCTGAAAATGAATAAAAAAATGAAGCTGAAAAAAGGATCAACAATCAATCAACCAACAAACATTTAAGTACCTATTATGTACTAGGCACTGGGGACACAAGTACAAAGAATGTAATGTGTCTATTATATATGTGACACAGAATAAATATAAATAAAGATAAATAAAATTTGAGAGGAAAGCAGGGGTGAGCTAGAGCCACCTCATACCATCTAACTGTTAAATTTTCAGTGTGAGCATTTACACCATGGAAATCAGCAAATGACACAAATCACAGCTTGATTTATTGTTCTGTTAATTGCTTAGACTTAAGTGATAGAGAAAATTTTAGTAAAGCAAATTAAACTTAAAAATGTGTCTGAGCATTTTTTTTCAGTCAGGTAAACATTTACCAGCATAAGCCTGGAGGAAGGACACTAGCCCCTAAAGAGAAGAGGAAAGGTTTTATATGGAAAGTGGTATTTGAACTGAGCCTTGAAGGAAAAAGAGGGATTCTGTGAGGTATAGCTAAGGCAGGAATGAATTCCAGGCCATAGTGGAAAACTGCTGCAAAGGTAGTGTCAGGATATAGGAGTGTAGTGTAATAAAGAGAAGGCTAGATTGGAAAGATCTCAGGGTATGAGAGGGGAAATAATGAACAATGAGGCTAGAAAGATGATTAAAAGGAATCATACAACTTGACCAATTACAAAAGAGTTCCACATGAAAAGAACAAAGTTTCATTGATTTGAACTGTTATTTGTATCATTCACAGTATCCTCTTATAATTTTGTGTTTACTTTATTTCCATAATTGAATACATAAAAGATCTGTCATTTTATCAGTGTAGGTATCATCTCCTTTGATGCAAGAGCACAACCCTTATAAACTTTGATAGAATTTTGTGAGCTGCTCTGACCATAATATTTCATCACTTAGTGAACAGCCTTTTAGTAAAAAGCCTTTTCCAACTCTGTGTCAGTTGATCAATAAGCATTTAATAAATATTTGTTGACCTGATTCGTAAATGTGAATTAGAACTTGGAAAAGGTTGAAATTTGTTTTTGTATTATTTATGAGCAAAGAATTCCAAGTAATAGTGTACGGGGCCTTCTCAACCTTAAGAGAAATATTTTTAAATACTTAAAGCAAACTATTTCTATGAAAATTTAGATGGATGCTGCTAATTTCAAATTAATCTGATCTAGTTATTGAGGCAGATCGATGAACTCTTATTTAGAAATATTTTGTTAATAGCTAGTTGTCCAATTCGAATTACTGTATAGGCTATGTGACTTTTCCCCTACCTTAAAACATTTCTCAGATGACATCTACCTAAAAGTTAAATATTCCAAAGTCATAAATATTCAGGGTTAAAAAGGATGTTAAAGGCCACTTGGTCCAATCTATAAATGACCAAGAATGCCCACTACAACATTCCTAACAAATGATCACATCTGACAACTTAACACTCCTGGTGACTCATATGGGAACATGACCCTTTGCCTCAGTTTCCTCATGTGAAAAAGAGTAGAACTAGATAATGTCCCTAATTCCAGATCTACGATCCTACTGTGGGTGGGGAGGTTACAACTGCTAGAAATAACCTGTCAAGCTTTGGTAATGATAATGAAGTCTTGGGTGGTAGTGGAAATATGCACTGCTGTGTGATCCTTTGGTGTTTCTTGGGATCTATTGTATAATTCGGACTTGTAATGCAGTTTTAATTTGCTATGGAAATTTAGCACACTTGTTGAACCCCCTATACTTTGTCCTAGTCTGGCTATGTATCCTGATAAGTTACCATCTCCAACCCTGTTTCTTGGCACATGGTAATCACCATCAAGACGGTCCAAGATTAGAAAGCTGAGCAGTCCCTTCACCTACCCTGACTACAGATGGTCGGGGGAATATCATTGAACGACCCTATAAAAACACCACTTAAATCCCAAGTCAGTGCAACAGTCACTGCCAGTATCTTGACTGCACTGTTGTCTTCTATCCTAGGCTGATGTCCAGAGATGAGCTCATAGGTATTTCTTAATCCCTTAGTGCCCTGTCCCCAGGGTATTCCCTTCCCCGCCCTCCCAGTTTTACTGCTTGTACCAGTCAACTGAACCACTTTGATGGGAAATAGGCTGAGCATGAAACACTGATCAAAGCTGAGACTAAGTTTTCTGGCAGCATCACCCCCATGAATGAGGTAGGACAGAAAGCCTTACTGCCAACTCCCTATTTTTTCCAGAAAATGCAAGGACTGGATCACTGAACTTTGTGCTTCAACAGCAAGAAGCTCTTTTTCCTCAGGTCCAAAAGTCACTGACCAAAACTGAGTCTAGGACTCTCAGCAACCACACATTCAGGGGCACCACCTGCCTTCACTGAAAAGAGTGAGGGCCTTGAGGTCGAACCCAGGGATTGGGAACTCCTACCCACCTGAGGTCCAAATGTTGCTGACCAGGGCTGGGACTAGGAGCCACACTTTTTTGGGAAGGACTTCCTGTCTTCACCAAAGAGAACAAGGGCTAGGGATCTGAATCTTAGTGATGTAATTCCCTTCTTATTTTGTCCCTTAGGTCCACAGTCTCTGACCAGGGCTAGGAATCTTGGACTTGAAGCCACTGCCCCAATGGAAAGGAGTTCCTCCCCTACTGTGGTCAAGGAAAGGCTTATATTCCTAAAACTACATGCACAAAAACCTGAAGACCTTGGTAGGCAGGAGACAGATGGCAACATTTTTTTCTATTTCTGATGTTTGTTGAAAATGAGAGCTTTAGGAGAAAAAAAAGAAATTAAGGAAATAACTGGTTAAGAAGATTGTACCTGTGAAGAGGATTTTGACTTCTGTACCACAGCCTAAACAAAGAAACGAAGGAGTAAAAATACTGGGGAGTGGTAAAATATATATTTGCTTAGAATAATAAAACAAGCTTGTATCATTCAAATGACCTTTTCTTCATACTTGAAGATCTTTCTACTTGCATGCAACATACAATGTCATTGAAATTATTAATTTAACCATCAGGAATCTTGGGAATTTGAAGCACTGGTTTTTTTCTCCCCACCACTAACATATGGACTCTTTCAATAAATCCTTCATTACATGTATTCAGAAGCTCTCAAAAGTTTTCTTGTATTTTCTTTCCTGCATTATGACATTCAAGTTTTTTGACTGGTCACGCACATACTATCATTAAAGTCATATGCTTTGACTTCTATAGAATTCATATGTTTTTAAACATTGTTGCCTTTTCCTTTTCTTCTTTTAAATTTTCTTCCATTTTAGTATTTTTGTTAACCTCTCTCATTTAGATTCTCCAACATGGACTCAATTTGTTTTCTAATACGTGTTTAAATTTTGCTTTCAGAGTTATAATTTCTGATTTTATTCTTCCCTTATTTTAATAAGCTTTATTTATCTTTTGAAGTATTCTGGAGTTTCTCGTTCTACCATATTCTCTAGGGAATCTATTCCCCATCAGGCACTACTAGTTCATTTTTCTTTTTTCCTTTGTATTCTCGTTGAGGTCTTATTCATTCTTCCTTCTACTTTCAAGATCTCTGCTGATTTAGCTGTTTGAGTTCTGGACTTTTATTGAGTCTTTTACTCTTTATATCTCTGATGTTTTTAGTTTCAGTCACCGTATTTTTGCTTCTTTTTAAAATTCTCCTGCCACTTACTTTTTGGCCCCTCTGCTTTGCTGGTAAGTAGACTGCTGAAGCTGGGCTGTAAGGCTCTTTTAGACTCCTAACACTGAGAAATAGGATTCATCAACTCAGATCCTTCATAGTTCTCTAATATACCCCAAAAGAAATTCTCTGCCAGATGCAGAATGATTACAACTAAATGCACAGAAGACAAAAGTAGGTAAAAATTCATTATAAATTAACGGTAGAAGACTCTTAATACTTCCCAACCCCTTTTCCCCTACCACTAATAGGACAAATTCAAGCACACCCAGGCTGGTGCAGAACATGGCTCTATGATAGGGACTTCGCTATTGCAATGGCTGAGCAATCACCTACACCAACCTGTATTCTGCAAGCAGTGGCACATGTTGATTCAGCTCAGTCATATGAAGTAAAGGAAGAGAAATGAGTGAGGAGTCAGGAGGGCTGCTGGAGTGGACAGATGCATGTAGCTTGAGGGAAAGGAGGCTGAAACCCAGCTGAGACAGCTCTTTCCCCTCTCAGGTTATTCAGGGCAGTGACCCAGGTTGTTGAATCCTATATCCTGTTCTGTGGACTCATTTTCTATTATATTAGCAATATAATTATTTTTTTAAATATTTCTTCATTTTTTTTTAAAAGCATGGTTTATTCGAACTTCAGTCTTCATTCCCCTTATATTTTGTTTGTTTCTGACAAGGTTTTTATTTTACCCTGTGATTTTTACCAGGCTCAATTATTATTTAATTTACATTAATTTAATTAATTTATTTAATTAACATATCACTTTTCCATCTAAGTATATCTCTCTAGAAGTCTTGTGTTGTTTTTCTTATCTGTAAAGCTCCTAGTTCTTTAGTTATTTTGTTGCTCCTTAGCAGAATTTTTTGTTATCAGCATTTTGTTTTGTTCTTTAGCTATTTTAGTTAATTTTTATTTAAGTAGTTTTTAAATACTATTTTTTCTCACTGGTATTTCTATTGACTGTTTTTGATAGAGATGCAAAAAGCCTGATTTCTTATTAAATCTCTTATTCCATCATCTCAATTTGAAAGCCATATTTTTTTTCCCCACTGATCATTTAATAACCCTTCCAAAATCCTACTCAAATACTTTATTACGGTACAGATGTCACCTTGGTTTCTTCTAGGAAATGCCAATAGGGACTAGTGATCTCATTGTTATGTTTTTTCTTCCAATGAAGCAAATGACAACCAATCCATGCCTGCTTAACTCTTGTCCACATTCTCCTATACACTCAACACAGGAGGCCCATCCAAGGTGCTGACAACTTTCTCACCATTCGAAACATAAGGATTCCAGAAAAACACACACAGGCTGTCCAATGATTATCT